CATCATCATGGTCATGGTCATCAAACATTCTATCATCAACAACATATACCAGAACAAACTGGTAAGATGCAATTGACCCTTATCTTACCAAATGGTGTTCCGTCTGTTATCAGTGTTGATGCTAAGTAAATTAATAGAACAAAAAAATTTGTTTGACACTAATGTATTATTATTTTCTAGTACACCAATGATGGACTTGTTAGTACAAGCAGCATCAGTAAATAAACTTAATCCGAGCGGTTATTCGCTCGTTGTACTTGATTCTAATCAACATATTATTCATTTCAAGGCTAATCAAACTGTTGGACAAATTGGTAGGTTATTTTGAAATTTATTTTGAAAATAAACTACGTATTCTTTCAGTTAGAAACTGTCAGTTGCCACAAATAAACGGTAATTTTTGTATAAATATTGCTTGTAACTATTCGTACTTACTACCTGCCTGTTTGTCTCCTATTTACTTAATCCATTTATTGATATTGTATAATCAAATATTGTTTTTTTCTATCCAGGTTCTTCAACAATCAGTCTCCTTCCTAAGGAGGTCTCTCATCCAAATTCATCATCAAAACCAAAAGCTCAACCATTTGAAATAACAGTTCGTTTACAAGTTAATTTACCAGATGCTCAAAAGATTTTATTACGCGTTGATCCAACATTACCATTACATGAAATCAAAGAACAAATATGTAAACAAAAAAAATATATCGATCCAAGTCGATATACATTATGTTTACCAAATAAACTTGACAAACCATTATTACTTGGTTTAACATTAGCTGAATATAAAACAAATGAACTTACATTAGTAAATTTGAAACATGGTAAATAATCCTTGAAAAAACATAATAAAATAACAATTTTAATAATCTTCTTATTTTGATATACGATAGATTTGAAATTTAATACCAATCAAATTCAGTCATTTGATCGTCTTTATCGTACACGTTCTGAAAGCCAACCAGCACGAGATCTCGTACAAGAAATTCATATTGACCATCAAGAATTAATAAATAGCAAACAGGTAACATTATTTTTATTATTAAATTTTATTATAACTCAATTTTCTTCATAGCGTCCAGCAAGTGTTCAATTAAATGCAATGCAAGGTCAACAATTAACATCATTACCAACACGTTCTCAACATCCTAAAACATCTCATACATCACTTCATGCATATTGGAATGATCCAAATTTTGATACACAATCTCAAACATCCAATTGTTCATCAACAACAAAAAAACGTCGTGCACCAAGACCACCGGAGTATATGAATTCAACACCTAATGATCAATTACAATCTTCGGATTATCATCAAAGTCAAGAATCATTAACAGAAAGTACAAATGGAACGAAACAAAAACGTAAAGCACCTGTTTTATCAAATACAAATATTCATGAAGAAAATACAACGGATGATCAACAAATACCGACAGATAATGAATTACAAAAACTCGATATTACAATAAATCCTGTTGATGAACAGAAGACACCACCAAGTGCAAGATTAGTTATAACAACACATTCTCAAGAACAGAATATTATTGAATCACATTCATCAACACCAATCTATTCTCAAATACATAAGGATAAAGAACCTATACAAATTGAATCTCACTATTCAACAGTTAAATCAACTTCAGCATCACCACAAGTTCAACAAGAAGAAAAACGAAATCTTTCACCAACAAATTTTTCCGTTGAAGAAATAGTTCAAAGTGGTATAGCTGAACCTCCAGTTGTTTCTCCAACAAAATCATCAAAAAAATCTGCAAAATCAACGGATGGTCTTACTAAAATCATAAATGATCATAATGAACGTGCTCAAATTTATCAAGCAAATGAAAAACAAACAGACAATGTGTCGTATTTTCGTGTTGCAAAAAGTCGTCATGGAAAATTTGAAACAGACAGTCAAGGTTTTATTAATACTGCAACGAATGTTTTTGATTCAACTAATAATACTGAACAACAACAACAACAACAACAGCAAACAGTAAAAACGCCTGATTTAACAACAAATAAAACAATATTAGCAGGTACTCAACAACAAACAAGAGGTAAACAAGCATATGATTTATTAAAAAAATATGAAAAAGAAGAAGAAGAAAATGAACAAAGTTTACAACCGATTGATACTGATTATTTAAATATTATAACAAATAATAAAGAAAAATCACCGACACCAATTCAGGTTTAATATTTTTCTATTAATAAAATTTCATTATCTATTTTTCTTTTCTTTATAGCTTGAAGTTACTGAACGTACAACCCATATTTCAGTTAGTACAAAAATAATTCATGAACTAAATTCTATATTTATTTTTTTAATTTAGGTAACTGTTGAAAGTGATCGTAAACAATTAATTACTCGAGCATCACCCGTATCACAACAAACAGCAGGTACACCTCCAATTGTAGCACCAAAACCATGTGGTAAAACTATAACAGAATATCGTACAGTTCGACGAATTGGTCACGATGGTGAAGCAACAACAACGACTACTGTACGTACCGCAACAGTACCATCAGAACTGACGGATTATAAACAACTAACATCATTACAGGCATCAACTCACCAATCTGATGATTTAGAAAATACAGACAAAAAATAATCTACCTAGTCAACTATTATTATTATTAACAGCTTATAATTCCGGTGCTTCCTAACGCTTACAAAACAAATTATTCTTAATAGATGAACAGTGGTTATCATCGAAATTAAATCTAGAACAATTTCTTACTAATTTTTGTACAGTTGTCAATTCGTTTGTTTTTTTCTCTTCTCTTCTTCATTTTAATTTTTTTCATATTCGCATAATTGTCGTATTTGATATATTTGTCTTACCTTTTTTTTTTTCTTTATATGTTTTATGAGTGTTCTATGTAGTTAATACAACGAGTAAGTTTGTATGTGTTTACATTTGAATTCTTTGTTTTTTTCTTTTTTAAACAAAAGAAAATAGAAAGACTCCACCAGTTATTATAAACTGAACGAAAGATACTTAATTACTGTTAATACTATATGTTTATTAGCTCATGTGTATAATTATTATAGCCGAAGGAAACGCAGTTTTTTACTTTGTTGATAATATTAAGTGAGTTCCGATTCGAAACGTCCGGTTGTAGTCTAAAGAAAAACATGGTTAATTTAATTCGGTAACCTTTGAAGTTACAATAATATTCTTTGCAGTTTGTACAGGAAATCCTTTTTGAATTGATCTTTATAATGATAATCGTAAATATCTATTTATAGTTCATAGCAAAATGTTAACCTAGATATATCTTTCGTATAGTAACACGCCTTGTGCTTGTAATATAAATATATTAAGAGATTTAATGAAAACTTGAGAGCATCATTCAATTATTAATATTGAAAAATGTGTCTCAATAAATCTTATAGAAGTTATTTTTAGCAAATAAAATGTTGACAAGCAGACATATATGTTAATCTATTAGGTTGTACGTGATTATTCTTTTTTTGTTTGCATTGAACATTATATTATTATTTCGAGTCAATTAAACGGCAAGAAAATCTATATTAATAAACAAAAGAACAAATGAGTTTTTGTTGAAAATAATGTCTGACCACCTATGGATATTTTTTCATCTTGATAATTTAATCATAGCAAGTTCCGTTGACGTGATAAGCATTTAATTTTAATATTTAATACGATAAAAGAAGAAAGAAGATCGACAAACTTCTTCTTACATTCAGTTAAGAAAGAAAGATTCTCTTTTTTTTGTTTTGTTCGATTAATTAATCATTAGAATATATCGATTCAAACAAATCATGAAAGGTAAACTACTTTATCATTATTTATATATAAATAGAAGACAATTCATTATCATTATTTAAGGTTTGACATCATCTGCTAAACAGATGGCTGATTCATGTACATCAGCATACAATCGATCTTCTTCTATAGGAACGAATGGTAATTAATAGAAAGAAGAAAACGTTTTCTTTCAACATTCAATTATTTCTAGATTCATATTGTCCAGCATATTTTGATCGTATTGCTTGTTGGCCACCAACAGAACCAGGTGTTCTTCGAAATATATCTTGTCCGAGTAATGTTTTCCCAAATGCTAGTCCAGATGGTATCTATATATATTTCTTTCCCTCATTTGTAAACTCTAAATTTATTTTAAAGCTTATGCTACACGATTATGTACAAATGAATCACGATGGCAAGACAAAGGTCATTATAGTTTATGTATGGGATGTTCACCTTCGGAATTATCCAATTCAGTATGTTTTAATAAATTAACAAAATTTCATATCGAAATAATGATTGCTTTTAGAGTACAACAGGTCCTTTTTCATTACCTCCAGCATATGTTGTTATTCGACGATATTTTGTTGTTTGTGCAAATGGTCTTTCAATTGTTTTACTTGCATGTGGTATTTTAATTCTACTTGGCAATAGTCGTCTTCGACGATGTTCTCGAAATATTCTTCATGTTAATATATTTCTTGTTTTTCTTATTCGATCAGCAATACAATTATTTGCTGAACTTCGTATGAGTCGAGGTTATTTCGATCATAATATATTTACTCGAATTGATGCATGTAATCGAACAACAAGTTATTTTAAAGAAGATCAAGTATGAATAGGATAAAAAAAACAAAATTCAATTATAAATGAGATTTATTTTTAGTTACTTGATTGTAAATTATTTACTATTCTAATGAATTATATTAATACAAGTGTTTCACATTGGTTTGTTTTTTGTGAAGCCTTATATTTATTTCGTCTTCTACGAGCGAAAGCATATAAAGATCGTGTTCGATGGTATATATTAACTGGTTGGCGTAAGTATTCGTAAAGGAATAAATGATTATTAAAACGAAAAAAAATATGATTTTTATAGTAGCTCCACTTATCTTAACAATAGTGACATATACAACACGTTATTTGAAAAAAACACATTTTTACACATGTTGGTTTGAACCATCAAGTTTGGATTGGATTCTTCATGGACCAAATATTATATTACAAATTGTAAGAAGAAAAGAAAACTTTTATCTTGATTGATTTCTTTTATTTAGTTTAATCTTATTATATTTATTTATATATGTGTATTGCTTGCACGAAAATTAAATAAAACTTATCGAACAGCAGCTTTTTCCGATCAAAAACGTTTTGCTAAATATAGGTAATTATTTTTATTATGAAAAACAACAACGTTTTTTTAACATTTGAATTATTTAGTCGTTTAACACGTTCAACTTTAATATTATTACCTGTATTTGGTATTCATTATTCTCTATTTTTATGGAATACGAAACCATATTTAATTACAAATTTAATTCTTATTCATTTGACTGTACAGACAGTATCATTATCATTTCAAGTAATTAGAGAAACAAAATGATATTTTAATCGTTATTATTCTTTTTTTTTGTTTTTTAAGGGTATCATTGTTGCATTAATTTACACATTAATTAATTCTGAAGTTCAACGTGAAATGTTTCGAAGTTTAGATCGTTGTTTAGTAAGAAATAGTACAGGATGGCATAAACCAAAATTTTTTCGAAATTATATGAATAGATTAGATAATGAACGTTTAT